CATGCTGTGTTCTAGGAAGATACTGAAGCATTCATGTGGTGCAGAGCACTGAGCTTGGGAGTTTTTCAAGGATCCTCTGGCATCATACCAGCTTTCAAATTCTTATCCAGTATTTTAACTGGAACCAAAAATTTCCAGAGTGATGATTACTAGGGTTTGATTACATTTAGTAAGCTATGGAGCCCCTTCTCTTCGAAGACAAACTGCTGCTAGAGACAGATTTACCACTGACCAACAGTGTTTTTATGCAAATGTGCCTGAGTGAGTGCAGTAACCCCAAGTTATAATAGAGTCATTCAATCTCTTGCCAGGACAGCAATATTTATATATTGCAAAGATAGATTGGATATCAAAACCAGTTCCATTACAGGGGGAAACTTCTCTATGTAAATCAGTTTTTCTAATCACACCATGTTTCTTCCCACCCACCCCCTACCCCATTTTGCTTTCCTTGCTTTATCTTCATAGATGAATTCCAAATGTGTTTTTCTCTTGTGTGTTCACTCTGAATATTGAAGCATTCAGCTAACGCCAAGATAATGGATAACGTAAACTTATTACGAAACTTTAAAGTCTCCAAGTGTGTTTCTCTGGGCCTTGGGAAGGGCTGTAAAGGGCTTACAGTCACATACAATGTTTTGTCTGCCACTTGTGCAAGTTTCTGTTTGAACTTCTCTTCTTCTGCTGCCTTGTGGGAAGAAATGGGCAGTCAGCTCCCTAGTGGCTTCATCTGCCCATCAGGAATGAGTGCAAGGGTCAGATGCCCCTCAGCATGCTGCTCCCCTGGGAGAGCTGGCTTTGTTTACTGACAGGGCTAATATGAGGAGACACGTGAAGTACTTTGGTTTGTGGAAGAGACAGGACAGACATGGTGCTGTGAAAACATTCCCACACACTCTAATGGCTCATTCACATAGAAAACAAGCGAGAGCCTTCAGCTCTTTCACAGAGCTCAAAGTAGAGCAAACGGACTGGGGAACCCCAAGGCACCAGTCAGAAAACACTTTCCTAATGGACTGAGATGATCTCTGTGATAGCTTACCTCTGAGATCTCAGCTCTCCTTTAGGCAACTAAATGAACTGGTTAGAAAGAAAAACTGCTCAGTATCTGATATTTGCTTTTGTTCACTCTTAACTGTGAAATTCTTCCTGAAAATCTAACATTTAGTTTCCTAAACCTAAACTTTCTAAAACTAGTTATAATAGGTGAAACATGCATTGGAGAATTTTATCATTAAAATCACCAATTATTTCTCTTTAAAATAAAATCAATAGGATGCAGAAGAAAGACAAGAAAGGTGTCCCTAAAAATAAAAACATATTTTGCTTTATAGTTGTCAGAGACACAGATACACAAGAATATAATTTGAGGATCAAAAAGAGTGACTTTCACAATGAGGTCTCCAACACAATAGGGATACATGTCACAGAAAAATCCACATTATAAACTGTTTTAAGTGACAAATGTTTAGTGAGTGGCAGAATTCATTATTCTCCACTTCAGTTTATAAGATGCATAGGAAGTCAGCAAGAATAGTGATACTAGATCAACCCACAAGTTTGTGTAGCTCAGTATCTGACCTCTAACACCAACCTGTATTAGAAATAAATCATAAGAGAGCAAACTGAGAGTGATTCTTTTCTGTTAAGGTATCCTACCAAATATGTATCATTTTTGATTTAAATAATTGCAGTTTAGTGTGGCCTCGTGGCATAACAAGATATTATGTTAAAAGGATTTCCTGCTTGTCTAGAAATACTATAAAACTCGATTCTTGCATTTGAGAAATACTGAATTACGTGACTGTCTTCACCTACTCCATTGCACTTAGTATTTTGTCATCTTTCCTCCATTCATCTCCTTACTTCCTGAAGGATAATAGTCTACTTTATTTTCATACAGAAGTTGCTCTGTATTTGTTACCACATTTGTTCATCTGTCATTTCCAGTTATTTTTCTTCCTCTGCATTGCTGAGTGAACTGGAACTACAAATTCCATACCTTATGGATGTAGCAATTGCAGTATTTGATGGTCATAAATTGAGCATTGAGCTGATATGTTCATAGAACTTGCCACAGTAACTCCACAATGTTCATTCCAGCATGACAGTATCAATTATAGTCCAGCAAAATAAGCATGTACACATGGAGACACACACACCATATTTATTTCCAAATGTTATATATATATATATATGTATATGACAGTCTACGATCTGTAGTGAGTGCTCTTTCTCCTTGTGGGCGTTAAATTACAAATATTGAACTTTCTGCCTTTGTAAAGTCCCATTACTCAGTACTATAAAAATCCTAAACTTATTTTATAATTGGGTTTTGTTTTTCCTTCGTTGAATCTTCATTACTCACTGTCTGATTCTATTTCCAGATTATTTTGGGGTGTATGTTGAGCAGTACAGAGGCCCACACTGATCTTTCTGAAAAATCAGTGATAAACTTCCACCAGAATGAAGAATGTCTTCCCTTTTCCTATTTGTTAATTTAATAGAAGATCGGATCTCCTTTAACAGAGCTTACTTAGTCTCTTTCAAAGTCTTTGGTGGAGACCTTTTAAGAGGAAATATCATCCCATTGTTTATGTCTTGGCCCTTTATATTCAACCAGTGTACCTATAGCCATGTAACATCCTTGAAGAGTGTGACTAAAATAGACACACTCCCTTTTCCACTTTTCACTCTAGTTCTTATCAAAGTCAATATATCTCAAGGATGTGTTGAAATGGATATGACTATGCAAAAGCATCACGTCAAATATATCAGCAAGGGCAGGAGTATGAACTAATGCAGTCAATAGTTGCATGTTACATTTGCTTTGGTTTTTACTGCTTCTGAAGGAAAGTTATGTCTAATTTAAGCCTGATTCTAAAAATATTCATATTTGGCCTAAAATAACTCCACTTTGGGAATGTGCCATTGCAAATGTGAAGTTTTTGAAAGGGCTTCACTTTTTTGGTAGATGAGAGTATTGTTCAGTTCCATCTTCCAATGTTTAATATACCACATTTAATGCAAAGTGCAGTAGAGATCAAAGGGCAGGATCTGGCCCTTAATTACGCTGCTCCTACTCGGACCAATCTCACAGCTCCTGAAAACTGATGCATCAAATATATATCCCTGAAAATGTCACTATTCTGAATGTTGCACATGATGCCTGAGCTGTCAGAAATAAAAATCTGTTCTTAATTATCCTTCCATTAAAAAAAAAAAAAAAAATTCTAATGGCCCAGTGAATAGGAACTTGATGTTTTCTTTGGCTAAACATTTTAATGATTTAGTACATCTAAAAAGTTCTATGTGCCTTTATAATATATAAATTTTTGAAAATTAGTCGTTCTTTCCCAGTTAAGTCTCTGTGGCTATCAAGAAAGGCAGCATTTATTTAAATCTCACTTAAGTTTAAATGTTAGTTACTTATGGGAAACATTTTAAGAAAAAAAAAGCCAGACATACAAAATTAGGCTAGCATGTGTTACATGGATACAAGCTATAAAAATATATAGCTATAATTAATTATATTGTTCATTTTAAGCTTTTGACCATCTTATTGTTTTCCCTTAATGGGCAAGAATATTGTTTATTTTTTTTCTTCATTATAATATGGAACTGATTTCACTGCGATGAGAAAATGAATAAACCAGAAAATATTAAGAAAGTATAAGAAGAAAAATGAAGGCTTTGGATAGTATCGGATTTTCTGCTGGAAACAAAATAATCCAGGTCATAAATCCTATTTGCTTTTAATATATTTTTTCCCTCATCACAATACTTCTTTCAGTTAATTACCTTCATTGAAAGCCAAAGAAGTGAACAGAAAAGACTCCCATTGAAACTTTGGAATAGCCTCATAGATACAATTTTTAGCATGAAATTTTACCTTCGTTAAGGGTTGAGGGGCTTAAAATACACAGGGCATTGTGGTCTCTTTTCTTTGGAGTTTTCAGTGTGATGATAGACTCCAACATTTTATCTCAATGCTTTGCTTCACTGAACAATGTACCTTTTGGAAACATTGACGTTAACAGCCAGTTTATAAAATACTCATATTATACAGCTAGAAAAGAAATGTTTCTTTTTCTTGTCCTTTTGGTCTTGGCACCATGTATTTATGCAGGAGAATATAAAACGTTTCATGCTAAACACTCTAGTTGATTCTGGATAATATTTCATTACCTTGCTTGGTTGCTTCTGAAAGCAGACTGCTTATTAGTATTTAGGTATCTGTACCTGAAATTCTACACAGAATTTTTCCTTACTCCTTGAAGCTAAGTAAATTAATACTTATTTAAAAACTTTTGGAAGTTCAATGCCAAAGTACTATTTAGTCAAAAAGAAATGTGAAACGAAAAATATATAACCAAGTGCAAACAAGCATGATGAAGTTGGAAAGCTAGGTGGATAGTTAAGGTGTTTTTCTTCCTTTTTGCATTGCCTCTCTGTACTAATTAAGGCACTGATCCAATGCAAAAAATAATAACATCTCATAATGATAATGCATGCACTTTAAGGGTGCATTGGAGTTGTACAGATGGTCTGGAAAGTACTGTATAGAGGAGGATCTTGTAGGGTCTGGAGCACTGACTTTTTCTTTGCAGATTTTAAATATCTGTTGAAAAAATAAAAAGCATAAATTTCTGCACTGTAAACATCTCATTCTTTGTGTGTCAGGTAGCCAAAATGAAGGAATGTCTTATTTTCTCATGTAATGAAATTATTTATTTAGTCTTCATGTATTAAAATAAACCACGGATATAATTATTCTATTTCAGAATAATTTTGGTTAGGATATTGTAGAATCATGTGACAGCTGGGCCCAGTTGTGTCCAACTTAAAGCTGCAATTCTCCTCAGGAATAATCGTTTTTGCCAGTTCTGTTCTCCACATCTTTTATTATCAGTTTGTCTTCTGACAGTTTTCATTGGTCCATATGACTGCTGTCAAAATGCTGTCAAGACAAAATGTGGAATTTTTTTCAACTTTTGCAGATCTAAGTGACCAGCTTATGGAAGTGGTGGGTCTGGAAGGAGCCATGGAGATGGGACAGATATACACAGGTCTGAAAAGTGCTGGAAGACGGCTTGCCCAGTGCTCATCTGTTGTCATCAGGTATCAGCAGCTTTAATTTACACTGCAGTGTTGGAGTGAAACTGGAGAGTTTTATGTATTGACTGTCTTTTGTAGTATAACAGTCATAATTTTTTTTTTGTTGTTGATGTATCATTTTTTCATACTAAATGAATCTATTCCATCCATATTCTATGCCCATACATCTTCCTTTCTTTAAATGTGTCAAAAAACTAAGAGGTATTTACATTCAATCTTCACATGTTGTATTCAAGTGCCATTTTTTCCAGTGAAGAAGTACTGTCAAGCATTTGGAGCAGAAGGAATAAGACATTAACATCTTGGGGTTTATTGTTGACATATACTCCATGCCATTTCAAGCCAAAAGTAATTTAGCATTACTTTGTCACATTTTAACCCATTTATAATGCATACCACACCAGGGAATAGTAGTGTGTAATTAGTAATTGTAAAGCACTTTTTGATCTGTGGAAGTCAAAGTGCTCTGTTTTTAATTTATTTGTTATTTACTGAATTCTGACAAGCCACTATGATTAAATCTATTGGTATGTGCGAGCCGATGATGGTGGAGTACTCTAATTTCATTGTGTTTTTATCATTTCCAAGATAAGAACATTCACAATAGAGTGAACTTGAATTAGAACACGAGGAAAAAGTAATTGTTCTATCTTTTGGATTAAATAAGGACTGAAAAGGAATTGACCGTCTCTTTTTCAGTCAAGAATTGCTCAGTAAGAATTTTCCAAAATTTATTAAACCCATAAGCTCTGCAATTATGAGCCTAAAACAGAAGAGCAACAATAAAAAAATAAGTAGGAACCCTTCCTGAACTATAAACTGAGAGTTCATTAAACATTTTTCCCTTCCTTCCGTTATGGCCATAGGTAGTAGGGGATAATTCCATGAAATGTTAGTTTGTTTTCAAAAAACATCCAGTCCAGAATTTCCATTGACCAACATGAGTCATTAATTTTTCCATTATTGCATTTATCCACTCCGTGCTGTTTCTAATAGTCTTTTGTGCAAACTATTACTATTTAAAAAAATACAGGGTTGGAAAGGACCATAAATGTAGTAAATTTTTTTTTCTGTTCTCATTTTGTTACATTTTCTTAACGTGACACCCAGAACTAGAGAGGGAATACTGTCTGTATCTTTCTGTTGAAATCAGCACCCCTTTGCTAACAATTTAAATTTATAACATGGCATGTTAAACACTCTGAATATAGTGCAGACTTCATTCTCCGTGAGTGTTCTGTCTAACTCAGACACAGTGATTCTAGTAAGTGGTGATGATAGACCTAAAATTTTTTGCTCATTTCCTTTATAGTGGAATAATATATATACTATCTACTCGTGCAATCTAAATTATGAAAAAATAGCACAAATTTGTTTGTCTTTTCTGTTATTAAGGTTTCTTCCAGAAGTTATTGTGTCATTCATTCATTTCACAAATTACAAACTCTTCTTCCATGAAAGAGTAGTGTATTACTAGAAAGATACATGAAAATTTGCCATGTTTTCGCTTTGTGTGCTGAAAATCAGACTAAGCTTTTAAAGTTGCCTGTGTTACATTTGTAAGCATATTGAGTCATACTGGAAATTTCATAGGAGTTTAGGGTGAATCAGGGTTATATCTGTATGCCATCACATATGTGCCTTTTTAATAAATACATTTATCAATTTTTTCTAGTTTCTTTTTCTTATATGCTGAAATTTGTACCTTTAGGACCAGCAAGTCTCTGCCTATGCAGATAGATGGAGAACCTTGGATGCAAACTCCTTGCACGGTAACTGCAACTGATTATTTTTCTTTTTCCTCTTTTTCACTGGTAGAAATATTTCTTGTGTTTAGAAGACAACTGTTTTCATCAGTATTAACTCAATTTTCTTAAATAACATCTTCACAAACTGTTTTTATATACTTCAGTACTCCCTGCATTTTCAGTTTATCATTCTGAATTCAGACACAGGTTAAAGTGGAATTAGAAGACATCTATTTCAGAAGTTTGGAAAATATTTGAAGAGTGCAGTCTCAGTATCCCTTTACCCAATATGACCATTTATTTATGATGGTGTATCAGATTTAGGCTCTCTATTGCTGAGAAAGATTCAATCTTTGTTTTGATGCTAAAATGTAGAAAGTAATTAATGTTAGTCTTTACATTTAGAAAGCTTTTGTATTGTGTTTTTCAGAGTTCATATCAAGAAAGTTTTAATTAAAGCTGAAGTCTTAACTGTTCTGCTTCAATTATACAATAGGACTAATATTTTTTTAAGTCCTTACAGTTTAAGGGGTAAATAAAGGAAATTAGTTTCTTCTTTCAGTACCCACACATATGAAGTGAGGGCATACAAACATTAATCTGCATAGGTTAGGATAACCTAAGATAGGATAGGAACTTTCTCAGAGAAGGTTCTTTGAGTGACTCTTTAGAGACAATGCAAGAAAAGGTGTACCTGTAAGAACTCTCCATTTTCATCTCCAAGAAATTATAGAGGCTAACCAAGCATTCAGAGACGAGGCTGAAGAAAGCCAAGTTCTTTATTGTTCTGTGTAATTTTATTAGTATATTTTAATATAAAGTTCTACTAAAGAAGACCTGTGCTTTTAAGTAGATGAATTGCTGTAGCCTTGCAGCTTTTAAATATGACAAAATAGTACTGTGACAAGGAAGAAGTCCCACTACAAATGGGAGCAATTTTCAAAAAAAGGGTACTGGATTCCTTTCATGAGCTTTATGTCGCTGGTAGAATTAAAATTTACGCAAAAAATTAAAAGGGTGATGTACATGAAGGTGCTAATGGGCATGAAACTGATAGTATATGGGTTAGGATGAGAGAAGAGGGTTGTGGTAGTTTGTGATTATGAGATGCACCACAGCGTACGGCTGAACAGTGTGAAGAATGCTGAACTCTCATTCTCTAGGGAAGTGCTCAGATTCTGCAGTGTGAGGAGAACCATAGAAACACATACTGTGTGAAGGCAGAACAGTGGGGATTTTATGAGATTTGTTGCAGAAAACCTTTTGGAGTTATGAGATATTATCTTTACCTTTTCTACAATGATGGCTCAGTGCAGAGCAACAGTGCTGAACCCAGCAGTTACTTATTCAGGAAAAAGACATGGAAATTTTCAGTTGCCAGATTATGGAAGAGAACTTATGGAAGGTTGCTGGCAATAACATATGCTTCTTTTTTTTCCTTTTTTTTTTCTTTTTTTTTTTTTTTTGTCCTGATGCTTGCTCTGTGCAGAATCCCTGCTATCTGATTGATAATGCTAGCACAAGCTGCCAGTGCAATTGAGAACAAACCTGGAAAAAAAAGACAGTTCTTGCATTTCAATTACTGTCCTGAGGAAACAGTAAATTACTATTGACAAATATTGCTGTCCAGTTTTAAAGGGGATAGAAATGGCATACACTCTTCTGAGGAACCTATTCTTTTTGCTATATCATTGTTATGAGAATATACTTGGCACTGTGCAAGAAAACCATGCAGTTGAATGTACTTGTTTAGTATTTGAGGAAAAAATACTTGAACTATTTGCTATACCAATGCACTTCTATGAATTTAGATATAGTATTATTATTTTTTGTTATTTTATTCATTTTTGGCGGGATTTTTTTAAATATATAAATTATAAAATATAGTATTTTAAATTATTTTAAATACTGAGGAGTTTCAGTATTTATTGCAATAGCTCCTTGCATTATTGTATATGTGCCACACTCTGTTTCCTACATCTTACAAAGTAAGTTTCTTCCCCACTAATTCTAACTACAGTAGAGGTTTTTTCTTTAAGTTATCTGCAAGTAGCTAGGAATTCTTCCTTACATAATAGGAAGATAATACCCATCTATGTCCTTAGACATAGTTGAATATTAGGTTTCGCTCAACAAAAGATCAAGATTTGATATCTGAGTTTGTGCTTCACGGTGATCTTTCTTGGGAAGCCAAAGCGTTCTTGATCATGTAAATACCAGGGTGATACCTGTGATGTGTATCCAAACCAGAGTCTGTACAAAACCCCCAGAAAATCAAAGTAATACTTTAGGCTTAATCAGCTATGTAATCAGTCATTTGAGACAAAAAGAGCTCAAATTTCAGAAAACTAATAAGGAGGCCAGTATAAAAATCATGAGATTTGTCTTTTTTAGAGAAAAACTGCCATTTTCTCCCAAAATTAAAACAAATGAATAATGACACATTTTTAAATTTAAAAAAAAAATCGTCATGGACAGATAAAGAACTTTCTACTTCTAGCTCCCTAGGACACTTGTGATAATTTGACTTTCCTTTTCCTTTTACCTCTCAGGAAGTTTCTTTCTCTAATCCTTGTAAGAAATTGAGGCCCGTATTTAAAGATTCTGCCCTTCCTGCATTGTGCAGAGACATGGGAAGACATTCCCAGGCTACCTCTTTTCTCATTAGGATGCTGAGGCAAGGCACTTATTAGTTTACTGGCTGTGTTGTTTGAAGGAAAAAGCTGCAGTTGTGTTTGGATATACCATCTCACTAGTTTTAGGAGAGAGAGGTCTGCACCTTGTTAGGTTGCACACATCAGTGAGACACAGCAGCTGAACCTCAGGTTTTTGATTCTTTTGAGTCCCAACCAGAATGCTGTTGTTAAAAAAAAAAAAAAACACCAAACAGCAAAAAACAAAACCTGCTGTCTTTCCCTCTTCAACTGTCTTTTAAAAAGACAGTTGAAGACTTTTTTTTTTTTTTATATCTTAGGAACTTCAGTGTCATCTAAGTTCAGTAGTGTTAAGGACTGACCTATAAATATTACAGAGACTAAGTGAGAAAGAAGTTCATAGAATCAGCATGTATTGAATGAACTCTTGCCTGGCTTGCAAGTACTTAAGCTCCAAAGTACTTTTCTACATTGCTTCAGATTTTGATATAAATGAGAGTATTTTCCAAACAATTTTTCAAGAAATTAAGTTCAACCTGATCAAAATTCTCCTGTTTTTCTATTATGCCTATTCAGGAAAGCAAGTTTGGCCTCAAATCCCTATTATGTATAGGATACAGCCTGCACATGCAGGCTTGGAAGTTTACTTCCCCTTGAAGGAATCAACATGTTTCTCTTTGTGTCTTCTCCTTTTTGACTGGGAAGAAAGTTTCACACAAATAGCATGAGTTGCTGACACTGTCCTTTCTCATGCATATGGAGACCATGCTCCTCCAAAATGATACTGTGAGCTCTGAGAAAATATTGTGGAATGTGCAGTGGTTCTCCAGAAGCTGTGATCAGTGATTTTTCCCTCCTGTGATCAATTTTAGGAGTAAACAAATAGTTGTGTGTTCCTTTTAAAATCTTTTATGATGCATTGCTTATGCACCTATAATCCATACAGGAGGGCAGGTACATGCTCATGTAGGTTCTGTGCATCCTTAAAAATGTGAGTGGCTTGATGTAAAAATCTGTCATCCAGAATTATTCAGTGAGTTGAACACATGCAGAATGCAGCATCTAACGAAGTCACTCTGCTCTGGTATAATAAAATGAAGCATCTGAGCATCAAATTGTATTGTTTTCCCTGTTTTTTTATAGAAGACTCTTTGGGAGAAGGAAAGATAATGTTAATATTATGTTAAACATCTTGTCTGATTAGCTAAGGAGGAAATTCTATCAGAGCTCTCCCAGACAAATATAGCAACATGAAAGATATCTATGGTTTCACCTGATCTCCAAACAGGTCATTAATAGTAATGAAACTTCAAAGACTCTCAAGTTAATTCAATAAACTTCTAGCTTTAGCCATCAGGGTTTTTTTTTAAGAAAAGTAATCTTTCAATTTAGCTACATAAATTATTAGCAATGTTTTGAAAAAATCTATAACAATGTTCCATCCTAATTAGAAATAACTGCAATTTATGTTCTTTCATCTATTCCTGACTTGCTTGGCATGATATCTGAAAGAGTGTCAAGCTTCTAGAAACACTAGATTAAAAGTGGAAGAAAGAAATGTCTATAGAAGATGCAAGAATATTGCTTAAATAAAGAAACAAAAATAAAAACCCATAGTCAGAGCTCACCTAATGGATTGCCAGAAACACAGTTTCACGGGTATCTGAGACACAGTATTTTCAGAATTGTTTCCTGATTGTTTACTGTTAACTTGGAGTAAATCATGGAATAAAGTTACACAAAATTAGTATTTCAAAATACTGTCATTTGAGTGCACCTTAAAATAAGTTTTGAATGAGTGGTTTCTCTCCAGTTTTTCCTTTAGATAAACTAAATCTCTAGATATGTGATGAGCTAGGGTGCAAGGATCCTACTGTCCTGTAGTTAAAACAGAGAGAAACAAGAACTTAAACCAAACCAAACCAAGCTGTGTGCCAGAGGTAGGTGAGAAAACTAAAAGAGTTCCAGATTTGCTTTTATGTAGATTCATTGTTTCCAGTACCTCACACATCACATGAAGCAGCAGCAGCTGTGTTCCAGACTCTGTCTGTAAAGTATCTTCTTTCCATGTCTCTGGTTGTACCATTATTTTCTTATCAGTTCTTTATAATGAGAGAATTTGACCTACTGCATCTGCCACTTTAGAGCAAACAGGAGCTGGGTCCTAGATATGGTGGCTGATTTCAGTAGAATGTTAGCCAATTGCTACATAGTTAACCCAAAAATGAAAATCACTAGAGAAGACTTTTGATGTTATATGAAAATGCTGCACTTTTTTTCCCTTTTGAGAAGCAGCGTGCATTCTGTTCCAAGGCCAGATTGATTTATTGAGTTTTTAACATTTTATTTTGCAGCTGGGCATTATTTTTT